TCAGATTCTTGAGTACAGGGCTAAGACTGAACTAGAATATTCTCTGCTGCTAAGCTCTGGTAGCGTAGTGGTTATGAATCGGGCTGCAAACCTTAAGGTCAGTGGTTCGAAACTACCAGCCGCTCCGCGGGAGAAAGATGAGGCTTTCTACTCCCGTAAAGATTTACACCCTCGAAAACCCTGTACAGGGTCGCTATGGGTCGGAACCGACTCGACGGCACTTAACAACAACAACAAGGATTTATAGTCTCTGAAACCCTATACTGGGTTGCTATGAATCAGAACCGAGTCGATGGCAACCACCGCCACCACCACATATAAAATGTTGTTAAGTGCCATTGAGTCAGTTCCAACTCAAAGCAACCCTGTAGTGGGTTTTCGAGTAGCAGCTGGTGGGTTTGAACTTCCGACCTTGTGGTTAGCAATCCAGTGCTAATCCAACAACAGCGTCACATGTTGTTGTTGTTGAGTGCCGTCGAGTCGTAGCGACCTTGTATAGGGTTTCCAAGGAGCGACTGGTGAGCTTGAACCGCCCACGTTGCGGTTCAAACCGACTTTGCAGTCCAGCACATTAACCTGCAGAGCCACATAGGGAGGATACTCGTGCCAAGTTGAGAGGGCTGCCGTCAAGACAGAGTTAATATATGTAGAACTTTCAGGGCAGCATCTGCTGAAAAGGAAGTGGCATCATCATCATCACCATTTCCTTGGGCTTGCTCTCTACCCCCAGTGGGTGGTGACCACTCATGGAATTCATTTGGGGTTGGTGGAGAGAGGTCCGGAAGTTGGCGCAGGGAAGCTGCCCTGCCTAATGTAGCCGCCAGAGGGAGCAGCTGGACCTGAGCTGGGCCCCTCCCTAGCTGAAATGACAAGGCCCTCCACACCCTCCTAGAGCAGGGGAATATGGGAGGGGGCGGCTGGGAGCAACCCCCCGGGCAGTCCCGGTCCCCAGTGGCCTCTCCTCCCCCCACGCCTGCTGAACCATCCGGTCCCCACCCTAATGACAATCTTCTTCACACTCCCCCAATAGGGTGGAATGGGGAATCTGGCTGGGAATTGCCCTGAGACAGCCCCAGGCCTTGGTGGTCCCTCCCATGGGGCTATCCAGTCCCTTCCCCCCTTCCCCAGCGAGGCTCTTCCTGGGTCCTCTGACCCCCTCCTCCTTCCTGCCCTCCCCTGCCAGTACTCATTGAGTCCCTTTCCCAAACCTTCAGGGACAAGGCACAAAGGGTGTGGGAGCCAGCACAGAACAAGACAGAAAGGGAGAGAAAGAGAAATATACAAAAAGCTAAACATCAAAGAGATACAGGGAGAAAGACCGTCTGAAGGAGAGACACAGAGGAGAGAAGCCAGCGATACACCAGCCAGCCAGCCAGCCGGGAAATGGATGCCTGATACAGGAGATGTAGTTGTGGGAATTTTGACCGAGCTGGGTGGGCAGAGAGAAGCCGGAGTCTCAGACAGGAGTAAGGGGGCATGGGAGGGGTAGACGTTCTGCTGCTGCTGCTGGCTGGGGCAGGGCTAGGGGTGGCCTGGAGACCCCTGAAGGGAAAATGCTCTCTTCGCTGTTCCTGTTCCAAAGACAGCGCTCTGTGTGAGGGCACCCCGGACCTTCCTGAGAGCTTCCCCCCGACCCTGCTATCACTGTGAGTGCCCGGTCCTCTGTGGGCCCAAAGGTGGGCTGGGGGCAAGGTACAGGGGTTACCAAGGAAATATGGGTCTGTCAGAGTCTAAGAGGTTGCAGGGTGAGTGTGGGCAGCAAAGGGTGCTGCCTAAAGTTCAAAGAGAGCAGAAGACAAATTGGGGTTCCCAAAGAGCAGGGGAAGCATTTGGGATCCAGGAAGAAGGGATGGCCAAAGGTCTGAGTGCTGTCCCAATCCTGCCAATGCCTGAGTCTCTTGAGATGAAGTGGAGATACCCAGAGTCATGGTCAGAGTGGCATGTCAGGGTCACCCAGACAGGAGAGGGCTCTGGGCTGAGATGACCTGCTCACCCACCACTGCCCATGCCCCCTAGTTCTCTTGTTAGGACCGGAGTCACCAAGCTGAAGGCCGGTAGCTTCCTAAAGATACCATCATTACATCTGCTGTGAGTGGTGCCAAGCTCCGGGAAGTGGTTTCATGAAAGTGTACGAAGGGAGTGTGTCCCTACCTGGGGTGGGGTGTGTGCATGCATGTGTGTGTGCGCACACGAGTTTGTTTGAAAGCAGCTGTGTGCGCACACATGCTCGTACCCACATGCATGTGTGTGTGTGTGCCCATGCCCGTGTGAATCAAGGGTGGGAGCCAGAGCTAAATGCCAGTAGGGGCAGCAACTCAGGAAAATTCCTTGCTTGCTCTCTTGCCAGTCTGTTCACATCCAACTCATTCTCTGTGATTGAAGACGATGCCTTTGCAGGCCTGACCCATCTACAGTACCTGTGAGTGAGGCCAAGGGATGGGCCACGTGGTAAACGGGAAGAGGGGAGGACCCTACACTCTCAGAGTAACAGAGGACAGGGCAATAGCTCTGGGAAAGATTGTGTGAAGGACTCCTTCTGGAGGGGCGAGAAGCCTGGTTAGCTATGTCATTTCAACCTGCTCACATCACCTTTCTATGCTTCAAGATCCCAAAGTTTGGATAACCAGAGACCATGTCTGGTTCTATCTGACATGAGGAAACCCAGTGAGAGTGCAAAGAAGCTAGAGACAGGAAATCAGGAAGAAGTAACTGTGAGTTAGAGAATGCTGGTGGTAGTACAAGCCATGGGTGGTGGTGATGCCAATTATAGAATCCATGTTAATGATGCTGACATTGGTGTTGGTGATGATGATAGTGGTGGTCCTAATGCCGCTGCTGCGGGGGCCATGACAACATTATTGATAATGGTTGAGTGGGGATAGTGCTGATAAACATGACGGAACCTGTGGTGATGGTCCTGTTGGTGATGCTGCTGATAAAGATGGTGGGGTAACTATCAGTAATAATTACTAGTGTTGTGGGGATTGGTAATTATGATATTGGTAGGATGTTGGAGATGGCTGTGGGTAGAATGTTGGTGTTGTGATAATAACAATGCTATTGGTACTGGTTTAGCGTAGTGGTTACGAATCGAGCTGCGAACCTTAAGGTCAGCGGTTCGAAACTACCAGCTGCTCCGCGGGAGAAAGATGAGGCTTTCTACTCCCGTAAAGATTTACACCCTTGG